TTACTAATGACAGAAACAGATTCTTATAAGTATACCCTTATCTACCATGAAACATTACCATGGTAACAGCAGCAGCTAAGATGATTGTATATTTAGGTCATAGTATAAAAGGAACTTCAGAATGTGAGAAGAAAGAAGAAAACGAATGAAGTAAGACAGGAATAGAAAGCATAGAAGCTCTAACTTCTCGTCCTCCAGCTTGGCTGAGAGCAGTTCACAAAGTCACATTTGCCTTGCCAAGATGACATTGACAATAAAGTCTGATTAAAATTAAAAGAAGCCATTGAAACTTAGAACTCAAATGTCCAAAGCGGGAACAGAGAGAGATTAATTCACCACAATACAATGGAGAGATGCTAGAATGGACATCGACTTGTGAACTTTCTCATGAAGTACTTAGATGTTTCACTTTTGGGAAATCTATTTATCTGCCTATCATGGGTTCAACTGGAAGGCACCTGACATGCACTTGGTTCTCCTGCCTTAGCTGTGAGGTGCATGTGACACTTGGCAATTGGCCTGGTACTCTTAATGCCTTTGATTTCTTCCACCAGAAATAATAACTAAGCAGAATAAGCACGTTGTGCCAATTAGGAATGTAGTTGGCACTGACTCATCTTACGTTTCTTTGCCTGAACGTAGGGGGCTCTAAGCAGAAAAAGCAGAGCTGAATTAAACGGATGGAAAGAGTATGACTGAAAACTGAATATCACAGTGTTGCTTTCCCCAAACACAGGAAAAATGCAGGTTATGCCTCTGTATACAGTCGATTAACACAGTATCAGAGTGAAGCCTCAGGGAGTCCAACAGGCTGTGTTTGTAACTTGGGGCTGCAACATACTATTTTTGTGATTTGGGGCCATCACTGCATTTCTGTGACTGTAGGTTTCTTTTCCTGTAAAATCAAGAAAATAGCATCTATCTCCTAGGATTGTTGCAATGAGAAAAATGGATTCATATATTTACTTGTTCAGCACAGATTTATTAAGTTCCTGGGATGTGCTTGACAGTATTTAAAATCATAAGGATTTGTAGCAAAACAGATAATACAATGCATGTAAGCTGCTTAGGAAAGTACCAGGAATTTAGCATAAAGTTTGAAAATGCCTAAGAAAAGATGACCTACTCCCTATGATCTACCCTCTGCCTCTCTTAAACACACACACACCACACACACGAACATTCATGCACACATGTACATATCATTATACCACAAGACAACACAGGAGAGCCTAGGATATGCAGAAAGTACACTTGCATTGCTGACCCCTAACGACGCAAGGGATCGGAACATCTGCTCAATGAACCAAAGGAAATGGAGTGCAAACAAATGATAAGAATGATGGGCAGTTGTAAATAGCCACAAGGAGAATTTACCAGCATTTAATACATTTGAATCCTTGTGGGGACACTGCATGGATACTAAAACTAAAATACCAGTGCAAAGGTAATTTCTATGAATAAAAACAGTCTTTCAAGGGGACTCTGACATGTTGTTTGTCACTCTCCACCTTATAGAATTAAAGGAAGAAATGTTAAAATTGGATGAAGAAGGCTCTCTGGGTAGTTACATGGAAAGATACTTAGGATCATTGTTTCACGTATATTAAGACCAGTGTGAGGAGTCGAGGCTGAACCACACTTTATTAAGGTCATATCCACAGAATCCTGCCCTTTCGTTCCCTTCCTCTTTCTCCCATTTCCTCTTCACCTCTCTTACATTCGGCTCTGATTCCCTTCTTCACCTCCTTCTTCTCTACCCATTGCAGTGGGTCTTGGAGACACATGCCTTCTCATCAGCCAGCTTACTCTACACTGACCACTGGACACTCAGACCTTCAGTTCCCCCTCTTGACAGCCAGCAGGCTAGACACCTCTGAAGATGCCCCAGCCCTCTGTTATCCTTGGCCTTAGAAGTGGGCTGTTCTGGATTGGAATTTGGCAATTGTCCTCTAAGTTTGTGTTCAATTGCCCAGCTTGGGGATTAGGGAAAACTGTCTGGACAAAGAAAGAGATAAATTCACTTTCAGAGCAATTTATTCATTTTATTTTTAAAGACAGCAGTTTATCGCCAGCCCCCCTCCCCCCAATGGTTGCCTATGGGAGCTCACCGCAGGAAGAGTTTCTATATTTTAACTGTTAATCTCTTCCACAGCTGCCTCTGAAGTCACTTAAGAGCTTCAAACATGTTTTCTGGGTTCTCATGCACTTGAACTATGATAGGGATATTGCAATCCACCTAGTTCCTTCCTCCAGTTCCCCTCCAGGCACCCTCAGGCACACTTATATAAGCACACATCATTTCTCCTTTTACAGGCTGACAAAACATCTGTCAGGCAGCCTACTCTTACTTTCGGGTCCTACAACTCAACTTTTCCCTATGTCCACTCTGTTATATACATAGAACCTTCAAGCCATAGACAAACCTGGGGAGATGTTCCTGGCCTTTAGGAAGTGAGTTTTGGATTTTAAAACTCATTTGCCAATATTATTTCATCTCAGAAAGTCCATAGAGTTGATAAGAAGTTGTTTATCATTATATTGCCAAAACTTCAACATGTCTTTTTAGTGACAGGGTGACAATCTGGCTTCAACATGACTCTTTAGTCCCTTTCCTAGGGGAAGGCTGTAACAGTGTTGGTACACAGGTCTTTCATCTTTGACAATAACCTCAAAGGTGCCCTTTCTCAGTTGTAGCCCAATATAATTCTCAGCATGAAACTGTGTCTTAGCTAAATCGACTGGTTTTCTCTCTACAGTCATTCAGTGTCTTTGCAAAATTCTTCAAGATGATCCAGGGATGCCTGATGATGATAAGTTTCTATGTATGTGTATCAAGATCCCTGGTATTGCTAGCAGTCAAAAGAACATACCCAGCCCGTGCTTATCAAGACAGTTTATGCTTACGCACCTAATTGTCTGAAGAAACCATCGTGAAATCCTTTGCCCCACAATCCAGAGTTAGTTAGCATGGACTTTATGGGCTCAGCTGATTATTTGAGCAAAGAACTCTGAATCCAGAAATGTGCCAATTGCAAGAAAGTGCAGGCCCTCTCCAGACACTCACTCAGCTATCAGACTACCCTGCAAGGGTTGGAAAAAAGATGCAGCTAGTTGCACTGGGGGCAAGACACCCAGTGTTGGGATGGGAAAATCGCTTTCCATGGCACCTCAGGAGTGCTCACCTCTTTGAACTGCCCCAGTATAGTCTCTCCACCTCACTTCTACTTCAAATTCCCAATTCTACTTGACTGTCCTGAGGTTTCTCCAGGGTATAGGAGTGGTTCCCCTCTCCATTCAGCTGGGTTGAGGCAGAAGCCTTGGGAAAGATGACCAAGGCTGCAGATGCTGGGGGAATGCCCAAAGGTGGCCAAACACTGGAGCGCCAATGCGTGTATGGAATAGCTTTGGGATGTGTGTTTGTGTTGCTGGCTGCTTATGCCGGAGGGACAGAACATCATAAGATTTCCATATACCAACTACCACCCAGCGAAAAATAAAGAACGAGGGAGGCAAAACCAGACAGGAAGAAAAGAAAAGGAGTAGAGAGTGATGTAAGGTCAGCGTGGGAGAGTCTGGACCTGGAGCATAAGGGCAAAGGGCTTCCTGCGGTGGGAAGCTTTGGAGTAGTGGGGTTGCAGGAAGAGACTCAGGGACGCTGAAGTGACACCAGAACTTGAAAGGGCAGTTTGGGTGATGTGTCAGCGGGCAATTTTACTTGCCTTCAGCGTTTACTTCCATTTCTCTGCCCTCCTCCCAGCTCTTGGCAGCCAGTACTTCTCTCCGTGGGCATTTGCACACAAGCTCCCGAGTCTGCATCACATAAAGAGACTGAAAGACCGGTCGACCCTCCCTTGGACTATTTAGTGGTTCAGAAAAGCCGTAAGGGCACAGAAGGACCGGAGATAGAAAAGATGATGCATATACTATAGAAGGATAGAGGCAAAGTATCCCCCTCCCCCATAGATGTCAGTTTGGGTGAATTCTTACCCTGGGAGCGCTCTGCAAAGCAAGTCTCCCTGCTTGCTAGGCTTCTGACACTCCAGGGACATGGAAGGGTGGAGCGCACAGGTGGAATTTCTGTATTTTGTATCTTCAACCGGGGTTGGACCGCACCTCAGACGCTCCCAGAGCCACAAGTTAGAGATGATAGCTTAGCTCCGCAGGTGCCAACAGTAAAGGTCATTTGCACCACAGCTATTCTCTATCTGAGACCGGCAGAGTGGTCCAGTACCCACCATTAGTTGGGAGGTCAAGGTCCTGCAGCATCTGAGACTTCATCAGCTCTGGACTGGGGCCCCTTTCCACAGCCACAGTGGACAATCAACCTTGTGCGCCAGCGGTGGAAAATAGGCTTGAGGAAGACTCCCTTCTCCCTCCTCCTAAAAACCTTCCCCAACCTTATTCTCCCTGCCAAGGTCCGGGGGACAACAGCACAAAACCTGTCTCCCTCACCGGAAGGCTCTCTCCCAAGGCTGAGTCAGAGGACAGCGTGGAGTGGTGGCTAGAGGGGCCTCCACCTTAAATACAGTGTGCCCAGACCCTAGGGTTTAAGGGGGGCTTAAGGAGGAGGGGTGAGCGGCAGGAGAGACTGAGCTCCAGTTGCCTTTCCCACCGCAGCATCTGGAGTGGAGGGATGAAGAGGAGCAGCGGGTTGGGAGGGGGAATGCCAAGCTCAAAGAGAGAGCCATGCTGGGGTATCGGCGCTCACGGGCTGCTTTTGCCACATTCCACTGGACTTAGCTACCCAGTGGTTTCCCCCGCCCCAGCTGTGAAACGCTTCCTTTTTTTTTCAGACCCTCCAAGGTACGTGTCCTCTCCAACAAGCCCCAGATGCCAAAGTTTCCATCGGAAAACCTGCACGTGTAGGGGACCACCAAAACAATTCTTCCAAACCCAGACCCTCTGCGGCCAGGGTCGGGTGATGGGGAGGGTCTGCGAGGTACCAGGGCCCTTGGTGTGAGCAATCAGAAAACCGGGCGGTATAGCAGAATCTTTACCTGTCGCTGACTTAGTCGCCCGGGGCTGCGATCTGGTGGAGTCTGGCTGGAGCTAGGAGCCTTTGGCGGGCTCAAGGTTGGACCGGCTTGGGAGCGAGCGGCACGGCTGTAAGTCCTCAGCTGGCTGCCCGCCTGCCTTCTCCCTGGATCTTGCGAGAGAAAAGCGAAAGATTAGTTGTCGCCGCCGCACTTAGACGGGTGGGGCAAGGGAGGCGGGGAGATTGCGGACCCCAAGGATCGGAGAAGGCTGTGGGGCATCGGTCGTGTCACTCGGCTAATCTAGGTCTGTTCAGACTGGAGTCAAATTGCATCTGTCCGCAACCCTGAGCAGCACACCCCCAAAACACAGGCAAAATAAGACTTTCAAACCTGGCTTTCAGGGAGATGACTGTGGACACCGAAACAGAAAGGAGACTTGGATGTGGCGAAGAGCTGGGCGGGCTTCATTTCTTCACCCGAGTGCCGAGGAAGTAGTAATTAGTGTCTGGGAGCTGCGCTCCTCCACTTCTCCCAGCGCCTCTGGCGATTTCCAAGTGGGATCTGCGACTTCAGGGCTCTGGCCAAGCCCGCAGGCTGGCGTGTGCGCGTGTGTGCGTGTGTGCGAGTGAGTGTGTCTGTGCCCCCGCGTGCCTGCTCTCAGGAACTGGTCTCCTCGCCCTCACCCGCTGTGTGTAGCAGCAGAGCGAGAGTGGTTGGTGTCTCTATTTGTGCGTTTGTGTTCTATTAGCTGCAATGGGCGGACAGTTTCTGGAGAGAGCATTTACAATTTTCTTTCGTTCTGACAGGATTAGTTGCCTTAGAAGGGGGCTCCGCCAATGAAATCTTCTCTGCGCTCTGATTTGGCGGTTCTTCTGTGCAAATATGACAGCTTTCTCTCTCAGCCCTTTTCTGCATCTCTCCATGTCTGTCCCCAGAGCCCAGTTCTCCATCTGCAAATTTCTACACCACAACCTTTGCAATCACCACCACCACCACCCCTAAGTCCCATGCCAGCAAGTGCCGGGGTTGCTACAAAGGTGACAGGGCACATTGAGAAGAAGGCTTGTTGATTGCAGAAGATACTTAAGCCCTGTGTTTCCAGGTGGGGAAATGTTAGAATAAATGCAATATACTTTGTATTAGATATATAGTCGTGGAGAAGTATTGAGATTGTTTATTTCTTTGATGGTGACTAATGTATTAGAAAGTAACAGATTTTTATTTATCTGTCTTTGCTGTCCCCCCCCCCCCCGCACAGGCCAGTGCCTATGTGTTTCATCAATTAATGGGAAGCAGTAGTTAACAGAGTATATTGGCAATGCTTTGGTGAGGTGGGATTTTGCTGTCTATCGAGGAAAATAAAAGATGTGAACTTCCTGTGTTCAGAGCATAGACTAATTTTTGGTTTCATTTATTTTAATGAGAAATTCCTTCCTAGATTTTTTACCCATTATTTGAAAGTATGAAACTTGTTCGATAATATCACGATGTGATTATTCTAAAGTGTAGTTGAGGACGACACGTGCTCTTGGTGATGTATGTTGCGTATGATGACATAGATACGTGTTACAGGATGTGGCTTTCATTTCCAAATTGAATTAAGGAAGAAATCATTGAAACCTTAAACTAAATAGCAAAGAAGGGGACATATCTCTTGTGTTGATCACAGAGACAGAGAAATTGCTGTTTATTATGCCCAGGGGAATTCAGCTCAACTTGTGTTACTCTGTCCTTGGCTGGGTGTTAAAAAGACCAGACAGAATAACGAAGCCACGGTTCCTTTTCTTTCTAAGTTTCTCATCTTTGAGAAGAAATACTCACATGAAGCTCATATACAGAGGCTGACCATAAAGACGATAAATTATACACTAATATAAATTCATTGAGGAATGGAAATCCTATGGCTGTGTCTAAGTAGGACTGACACAAATTCATTTGCTTGATGAAAGCTATCCTGGTGTAAAGGATGGTAAGGGTCTGTCTTTGCCCTCTGTGTCCATACAGGTATTTTAGTCCTGTTTGAGAAAGGCAGCTCTGAACATTATTGCCCTCAGCCTACCCTAGAACTGGGTTTCAGTCAGTAAACATCTGATTTTTATTTTCATTGTTTTTTCTCTCTGTTGGGTACTATAGAAAATAAGTTCACAAACATTCCATCTGCTGTTATCTCTAAGAAGCCTTCAGAAATCCACATTGTCATAATATGTCTGAGGTTTTGGTGAATGCACACAGCACACACACACACACATATACACACATAGCACACACACACAGCACACACACACATACACACACACAGCACACACACATACACACACAGCACACACACACATACACACACACAGCACACACACGCACACACATATACACACACAGCACACACACACACACGCACTGAAACTGAAAAAAAATAAAAGAATAATAGATTCCTGACAAGCAACAAAGAAGAAAACGCAGGCATTTATTAACCTAGACCCTAGACTCTGGTTCTGCTTTTGCTTGCCATCATGAATCTGTTCTTCCTAAGAGGATCTACCTATTCCACAAAGGAAAGTAAGTAAATAGCCAGCAAAGAGTCTCACAAACAGATCAGGCTTTTGTGAGGAGCTAGAAACAGAAGTGACACTCTCAGTAAGCAAGCCTCAAAAACGTCCATTTTCTTAAGTCATTACTGAGAACATCTTTATCGTGTATACTTGTATCTTGGCCACTCACTGTCCAAAGTGAAGAAATTATTTAAATTACTCTGAATGTCAACTTTTTAGTCTAGAAAATGGATATCTCCTAGACTTGTAATATAGAACAGTAGAATCAATTGCTGCAAAGTTCTCAGCAGATTTTTTTGGGCACATGACGATTCTGCGGGTTGTCAGTTAGGATTTAAGGATTCGGATTCCTGGGTCATGCCTGTGACCTCCTTGAAAGTGTTTACCAGGGAGAATTACTGGCAGAACCAAGGATGCTATCCACCAGAGTGATGCAAGATGCATGTTAAACATAATCCATCATCACACTGACCCCAAGGAACCTCAGTCTTTCCCCCTTCTAGTTTCTTTCTGTACAGGAAATGATCGTGCGCTTTCTGAGCATTTTATTTTCATCTCTTAAACAAGTTCACTTTCTGAGATAAAAGAGTGTTCCTTCACCCCAGGAATATAGCGTTTGCATTTATTAGTAACTCTTGGTGTGGAACATTTTCAAAAGTGCTTTTTAAAGACTTTGTAGAATGCATCTGTGGGTTTCCCTTTATCTGCATGACTATTTTCCACCTCAAAGCACTCTAATAAATTAGTAATTTCCACTTGTGAAGCCAAACTTCATTACCTACCTCCTTATAATGCTAGTTTTAGGCATGAGATGGGGACCGCCAATGCCCGGAGGGTGTGACTTTGAGTCTTTGACAAAGTTCACTTTTGAATAAGGCTAGAAACAAGGTCACCAGTAACAGAAGAAGGGGGAACCTGATTGGCTCTCAGTCCTGAAGATGTGACATGTATTTTACTGCACCATGTTGATTTCAGTGCAAGAGTAAGGAGGTTTCAGTACTTAGAGGCACTGATCACCACTCTCTCATTGTAAGTGGATTTAGGATGAGCTGAACTCTGGTGGTTTCCCACCAAGTCTGGCAGCCATATATTTGCCCTCCCTTCTACCTTTTGTATTTTTAAAAATACAAAAAAATACAAGGAAAAAATACAAGGAAAGTCTTGTCTTATGGGAGGAAAGTGAACTGGAGTAGATCTTACTGCCCTAAGTCTCCCACCCATAAAACTGTTACATGAGGTGAAGAAGGGGAACCAAGAGGCTTAGCAGGCAGAGGCTCAGGAAAAAGCAGCTTGATTCCTCGGATGTACACCTAGGGAACTTATATTTTGCCAGGATGCAGTTTGGAATATAACATTGTTGGGTTCAAAGTGGGTCTTCCAGTGACAGCCATTTGAAATGGGCTTTTCAGTAATTCTGTTGTTTTAAAATCTCAGTAACAGCCCCACAATAGGCATGCCATCCTTCTTAGAGTTATTTATTTTCCCTACAAACCCTCCCAAAGGGTAATTTAAAAGCTTCTATTCTTCAGCTAGAAAAGATGCTGTCCTTTTGTCATAGAAAAATCCTAAGCCTTTCTTTTGCATACCCTGCAGCAGAAGTTTTCATACACAAATGGGACTGATTCTGAGTGACAATGTTTAGTGACAGAATGACAAACAATGCTCTGTTACTCCCACCCTCCTTTTCCTGGAAGTTTGGCATCACAGATGTTTTAAACTGAGCCTGTCTTAGCCATGATAGTGTTATCCAAAGCCTAAAAACATTTACTGCTGCTGACTCTAAGATATTTAAAATACAGAGCTCTGTTCCAAATGGGGGCATATTAAGAAGGAGGAAATGGTGGGGAGGAGGGGCCTCATGGTGCAAAATGTTAAGCAGCTGCTGATAAGTCAGTGTTAAGTACACTGAGGGAAACAGACAGGTGGGATGCCTGGGTGCTCAGAGGAGTATTTAGTCTGTATGCTCCCACCAGGAGGTGAAGCTGAAGACCCGAGTAGAGAGGTAAGTCACTAAGACAGGAGCTGAGAAGACTCAAGGGCATCTATTTCCAAACTTAGCATTTGACAAACAATTTAAATTTCTCTTCCTGAAGTCTAAGTTGGATGCTGGAATTTTAGATGGAGCTAAGATGCTAGCAAGTTCAAAGGGAAGAGTCCCGCTCTTGCATTATGAGCAAGACTCCCTGATGATTTGCATCAGTGACTCTGATTTTATTTTACAGAAAAGGGCCTTCCAGGAATACTTAACACCAACATAGTCCATAGGGAAACCTGCTTTAGTAGAATTTCGAGCAAACTAATCCCTTACTCATCTCATGGGGATTCATATATTTTCTCAGATCATATAACAGACAAGTTTCCTAAGCTAGCTGTGGGTCATCAAGGGAAAGCTGTAGGTGCTAAGCCATGATAAAGAAACATGTTTGGGGACCATAGCAGCACCCAAAAGATTCCTCACTACACTTGACTTATCCTCTATTTCAGAGTGACTGAGATGGCTCTCATGCAGAAAAGAATATTTTTCAAAAGTAAGACTCAGTCGTGTATGATCAGTAATATTACCACATGCAGATCTTTTCACCTTAGAAGCACTCTCTCCTTGTAGAACGCTTAACGAAGCAAGCACTAAAGCCTGCCCTGATTTACTGTGCCAAGAAGATACAAGCCAAACATGTTCTTTATTCCTCATTTAATCTACAAGGTGACTGGATCTATGGATTAAGGACCTCATTTATAAGAGGTCTCAAGGGCAACATTTTACAAATCCCTAGAGAAGGGAATGAAGTTGTCTAGCCCTAGGTACAATATGTATGATCCATGTTTACTAGGTCTTCCTTCATTAACAGACATTACCTTAGAAAGAGAGTTCATTTTAAAAGGATGCTGAATAAACATGTATTGGGAATCACTGAATATTTTCAATGATAACTGCTCAATATCTACTCTCAGAACTCCATAGCAGACACAATGTACTCTTGTGTTATTGATGCCAGATAGGAGATACACAGTGTCTCTGGCTTGGTGGAAAACATTTCTTATTGAACACATTTTATGTAAACAAGCTGCTATTGCTCTGTTTTGCTTCAACAGAGCTATGAAGTGCAATGAGCTGATCTGAGACCATCAGAT